ATATATATGTATTTTAGAAAAGGGCTGACATGATATCAGATTTTCACTACATGATTACTGTGGCCAAAAGAGTTCACGATAATGATATTTTTGGGATATCTATTGAAACTTTGGGGGAAAAAAAGGAAAATTCTATCAGTCAAATTGATCTTTAACTTTCTTTACTGTGTGTTTTGTCTCTTTTTGGCAAATGACTTGCACTCAAAATACGAGTGTAGTGGGGTGAAGAGAGAGTCTGTCATTATAAAAGTTCAAAATTGCACAAAAAGAGCAATTGCACTTAATGGATAGTGAAAGGGCAACCGAATGGCGTTGCAGGAGGGAGACAAAGCATAAACGGAAAGAAACGGAATGATTTACCAGGCGATGCATGATTTTCATCATATTAGCAGATATGTATTATTAACATGATATCAATATTTCACTTTTTAATATCACTGTTATCGTCAGTACCGGTATATCATGAAAGTGTATCTTGACTGACAAAGACTTTCTGAAATAATATGTCTTTGAATTAAAAACAAACAGTGTGACATAAAATAAACACTGTTGTTGTGAAAAGAAGCAGAATGAAAGAACAATATAAAAATGTTTCAGGTTATTTTAAAATTGGATGATTATATTATGCATCTTGTCTGCATTTATAATTTAATTCTATCCATTTAATAACGTTTGACAAATTTATTTAATATTGAACTCTTTGGGCCTCCATATATGGCACTTGTTTGTCATATCATAGCATAAAACATGGGTCTTCTGTGTACCGATGAGAGGCTGACGTTGCAGATAACAGTGAGTGAGAGTTACATCCATTGCTTTGCTCCTGTACCTGCACATTTCTAATTTGAAATTCTAGTTTTTATTGGGCCTTTAACAGCAGAGGTGAAAGCTGGTGTTTGTTCATCCACTGATTAATCTCCCCAGGCCTCTGTGCACCTCTGCCTGCAGCGGCCCATACTCCACCACCTCTCCGTCTACTGTTATTATCCCTTTAGGTGAATACGGCTCCAGTCTGAGTGCCCGCACCTTCGTGTGCACCAAGTGTTGACAGTTAGTACTCAGATGTGCACCCTTCTCCATGGCTAGGAACAGCCTCAGCAGCGCAGTGCGTGATATTCCTGCTCTGACGTAGAAGAGATGGATGACTCCATCGTCTGTGATGGCGTCTGGTGCTGCCATCAGGTCCTCAGCCAGGTGGGACTGGTACATGGCCAGCATGAGGACAAAGTCTTCCTCCGGCACTACCACCCAGTTGCTGGGCAAGGGCTGGTCCAGAGGCAGCAGCAGGGAGTCAGACGGGCCGGTGAGGGGTTTGGTGGCGCTTCTAGAAGGCGTGCTCTCCGTACTCCTCACTTTGAGGGAGTTGTTGGAGTGGCAGGAGTTGTGGAAGGTGTTCTGGCAAGGAGAGTCTCTGGACGGTCGAGAGGCCAGAGCCAAGGAGGACGCCTGATTGTTGCAGTGCAGCTTCATGTTATTTCCTAAACCCTCCTCCTTGCTGTAGTCCTCGGTGGCGGGCAGGTAAGCCAGTTTGCCCTTGTAGACGCGGAGACAAGCCAGCCTCACCAGCGTGCCGACAGTGAACCGGGCAGCTCCCACGTGACGGTACTTCTCGCTCTCTATGTCCACGTCGGCCACAAAGCCCCAGGCCAGCGAAAGGAAGGAGAAGAGACGAAGGCCGGAGGACAGATGGATGGAGACCAGGTCCATGTGCGCCACGAGTCCTTGACAGAGCAGGAAACCACAGCTGACCAGGAGCTCCTCGCTGGACACTGGCGAGGCTCTGGAGACACGAAGGAGGAGGGATAAGAGTTAGCCACAAGAGGCAGAGCTGGACTTCAAGCAAACATCTAACCACAGAATTCATCTTATGCTGCCTTCAAGTGACAGTTAAACTACGGAGACTGGAAGTTGTGCTCAAACTGTATCATTTACAGGCATGTATAACATGTTGCATTAAAAATACAGTTTGAAATCATCATGGTTCTCTCTTTCATGACTCTCAGGTGCTACTGTATGTGTGAATGCTCTATATTATGAGTGTGTTTTATGTGTAGGTGTCTCTTGTTAGAGAGATAATGTATTTCAAGAGACTCCTTTTTAAATAAAGGCTAAATAAAAGGAAGGTTATTCACATGAGTGAGTGGGTAAATAGATGAGGTGTATTGCTAAGACAATAAAAATCCTCTGAAAGCAGAGACAGCTGGTAGAAATGATGAAACAACTAGTTAATTAATTAATAAACAGGACTGAGAATAAAGCTTCAGTAATAATTAGTGCTGACCAAAATGTGTCAGATATGGCACTAAATGACCCTTGATCTATAAAATAAAAAACTTTCCCAACTTTAGACTAAATATCATTTGGAGAAAGCTCAGCATTTATCACTGATGCATGAGCAGACTGGCCTGAATGTATTAATTGAAAATATATATATAAATATATAAATTATATTCCTCCCAACTAAGGAATTAAAAAAGTACTGATATTCAAAATTCAACCTTGACAAAGAAACAACAGTTCAGAAAAAAATTAACCACAAGATCTATTTAGCTGCTCTGGAGCTTTTGATTATGTCCCATGATCTTAATCAGCAGATGTGATGGATTTGTAGATGTTCATATTTCCATTTTTCTGAGCACAGAAGTTATTCAAGATTCAAGACCTTTATTTGTCCCCGAGGGGCAAATGATTCTGCCGCAGTAGCAATAAAAACAACAACAAACAACAATGACAACAAGGTTGACACACACAAGGCAACAGTCACATAAAATCAGTTGTAACTAAATAAATAAAAAGGCATACATGAATAAAATGTGAACTAATGATGATGCTACCTGTACTGTACAGAGTTAAGCAGTGAGATGGCAGAGGGTATGAAGGAGAATTTGTATCTGTTAGTTTTGGCTAATGGTTGTCTGAGGCGGGAACCAGAGGGCAGGAACTTAAATTCTGAATGCAGGGGGCGAGTGCTGTCGGACATGATGGATTTTGCCTTCTCTGATAGCTGGTTATTGTACAGTTCTGAAAGGGTTTTTTTTCCGAGTGCCAATGATTTTACTGCTGACTTTTGTTATCTTGAGTGAGGCAAACCAGCAAATAAAAGAAAAGGTGACAACAGACTCAATAAAAGATCTATCAAACACTGTCATCAGAGATCTGTCGACCCGGAATTTTGCCATCTTCCTTAGACAAAACAGACGCTGCTGGCTTTTCTTGATCAGCATGTTGGTGTTTTTCTCAAAAGTCAGTTTATTGTCGATTACGATGTCCAGGTACTTGTATGAATCGACAATCTCCACAATTTCTCCATTTACAGTGGCGTTTACAGGGGCAGGGTGGTTGTGTCTAAAATCGATGCACAAAGTGCTATTAAAGTGCTCAGAAAAATAAAAATGTGAACATTTGCAATATAAATGACAACGGAACAAACTCCTGCTGATAAAGATCATGTGATATGATCAAAAGGTCCAAACACGACTTTGTAGCAAGACTGTTTTCAAAACAGAAAGAAAATATTGTTTTGGTATTTGTACTGAAACTTGGATATCAAATCAAAAATCTTAAATGCTGCACTGCCCTGTTAAAAGACTGATACCTACAGTGCCCTCCAAAAGTATTGGAACAGTCAGTCCAATTCGTTTACTTTTGTTGTAGACTGAAAACATTTGGGTTTGACATCAAAAGATGAATATGAGACAAGAGATCAACATTTCAGCTTTTATTTCCAGGTATTTACATCTGGATCTGATACACAACCTAGAAGATAGCATTATTTGTAATGGAACACAAAATTTTTAGGTGAGCAAAAGTATTGGAACATATAAACTTAAAATAGATTAAAGTGAATGAGACTTAATATTTAGTTGCAAATCCTTTGCTTTCAATAACTGCATCAAGCCTGTGACCCATTGACATCACCAAACTTTTGCATTCTTCTTTTGTGATGCTTTTCCAGGCTTTCACCGCAGCCTCTTTCAGTTGTTGTTTGTTTTGGGGGGTTACTCCCTTCAGTCTCCTCTTCAGCAGGTAAAATGCATGCTCTATTGGGTTTAAGTCTGGAGACTGACTTGGCCAGTCTAAAACCTTCCACTTCTTGCCCCTGATGAACTCCTTTGTTGTTTTGGCAGTGTGTTTTGGGTCGTTATCTTGCTGCATGATGAAGGATCTCCCAATCAGTTTGGTTGCATCTTTCTTTAAATTAGCAGACAAAATGTTTCTGTAGACTTCTGAGTTGATTTTGCTGCTGCCATCATGTGTTACATCATCAATAAAGATGAAAGAGCCCGTCCCAGAAGAAGCCATACAAGCCCAAGCCATGACATTCCCTCCACCGTGTTTCACAGATGAGCTTGTATGTTTGGGATCATGAGCAGATCCTGTCTTTCTCCAAACTTTCGCCTTTCCATCACTTTGGAAAAAGTTAATCTTTGTCTCATCAGTCCATAAAACTTTTTCCCAGAATTTTTGAGGCTCATCTCTGTACCTTTTGGCAAATTCCAGCCTGGCCTTCCTATTCTTCTTGCTAATGAGTGGTTTGCATCTTCTGGTGTAGCCTCTGTACTTTTGTTCATGAAGTTTTGTGCTAACAGTAGATTGTGATACCTTCACTCCTGCCCTCTGGAGGTTGTTGATGTCACTAACAGTTGTTTTAAGGTCTTTCTTTACAGCTCTCACAATGTTTCTGTCATCAACTGCTGATGTTTTCCTTGGTGTACCTGTTCGACGTCTGTTGCTTAGTACACCAGTGGTTTCTTTCTTCTTCAGGACATTCCAAATGGTTATACTGGCTATGGCCAATGTTTGTGCAATGGCTCTGATTGATTGTCCATCTTCTCTCAGATTCACAATTGTTTCTTTTTCACCCATAGACAGCTCTCTGGTTTTCATGTTGGTTCCACCTCTAAATGCAGTCTGCACAGGCAAAACCTATCGTACCCAATCTGAAACTGAGCTCAGACATACAGTGCTATTTATTGTTTGAATAATCAATGTAATTGGGAGACACCTGGGCAACAAAACACACCTGTCAGTCACATGTTCCAATACTTTTGCTCTCATGAAAAATGGGTGGGTTCAAACAAAAGGTGCTATCTTCTAAGTTGTGTATCAGATCCAGATGTAAATACCTGGAAATAAAAGCTGAAATGTTGATCTCTTGTCTCATATTCATCTTTTGATGTCAAACCCAAATATTTTCAGTCTACAACAAAAATAAAGGAATTGGCCTCACTGTTCCAATACTTTTGGAGGGCACTGTACATGGATGGATGATCAGATGGATACATGCAGAACAACCAGTAATTATAAGATGCTCGATTAAGGTGATTTTGCTTATTCTGTTGCAGCAGCACAAAGTAGTGACGTGATGTGAGGCTCGATTTCTAAAACCAAACAATGGCCACCAAGGAACAGCTTCCACTTCAGGGTGCTTTCAGTCAATATTTCTGACCAAATGCACTTGAGTGTGTGACAGGTTGTGTTTACAGCCTCCAGACTTAGAAACAGTGGAGCTCGTCTTTAAGGCGGCAGCAGCTCTTATTAAGTGGTCAAGAAGGTCTTGGTGCCAATTTAGTGGGCAGAGATGCACCACATCCAAAATGGACTCCAGTCCTCAACTAATGACTATTTTTTTTATTTTATTTTTCTTTAGTTAACGTCAATGTCAGAAAATAGTGATAACTTGCCGTAGCCCAAGGTAACATATTTAAATAACCTTTTTTGACATCAGCAGCTCAAAACCCTTTTAATTTATATAATATAAAACACAGAAAAGCAGCAAATGACTTGAGGAATCATTTCAGCCCCACAGCAATCCTTGAGCAGGAGACATACTCAAGAATCTAGCTTCAAAAATAAGACGCAGACACCAAAATAAAAACAGGAAGGCGCACTTAATATTTTTGGGTTAGGAACTGGGTTGAGGCTCGAGTGTCTTTTGAGGAGTGAGCTATAAGAGGAGTGTTACACAATAGCGGGGTAACTATGACCTTATTGTGAGATCATAAAACAACAGAGGAGGGGTGAGGGTGGGGGAGTAGGGTGACTCAGAGAGGGGGGTTCAATAAACCAGGAGGCTTGGGGACAAATCGAGGAGGTGGGACAGAATCAGCTCATGGGCCTTCAGACATGACAGGCCAGTCAGACAACAAAGACATGCCCATCTGGGAGAACGGAGACAAGGGTGGAAGGTCACGAAAACACACACACACACACACACACACACACACACAGATTTGCCTGCTGTTACCACCCACAGCCAATTACAGTGACGACTGGATGTCTCAGCGGAGTTCAGTGGCGTTGGCCCTGCAGATATCTCCATATTCATCATCCTGAATTTATTCACCAGTCAGACTATACAAATAGTCTCATCTGCATTTCCACTGCTCCCTTTCTTTCAAGTCATTGTCTGGTAAAAAGGTCAAGAAATAAGATGTACAGCCTCGACTGCTGCAGCTGGCAGTCAGTGGTGGAAAGTAACCGAATGCATTTGCTCAACTACTGTACTTAAGTACGATGTCGCGGTACATGTTCTACTTTTTACTCCACTGTTCATTTGACAGCTATAGTTATGACATAGCTAAGACTTTATAGACATGCTAGCAGCTCTTTTAGCTGAGTACTAACATCTGCAGCCAACATGCTCACTATGACAATGCTAACATGGTGATCTCTAGACTAGCATGCTAGCATTGGCTAATTAGCACTAAACACAAAGTACAGCTGAGGCCGATCAGCCTGGGACCCAGACAAACACAGGTTTATTATGCTAACTGATTT